AGATGACAGAGTATACTACTCTAAGCCATTATTTTTCTATTGACAGGGGAAAATGTACACAAATACAAATAGCTCCTCTTTAACATAGTCTGTTTTTGTTATTCTCCTTACATTATAGCCCATTATGACTTAATCACATTTTAAATGGAAGCTCATTTGCTGAGCATCTCTATGCCTGTCTTTAAGCTTCTCTTGCATCACAAAAAGTCAGCATGATAAAGTCCAATTGCTTCCAATAAAATGACACACTGGGTAATTTTGACACAATCAAGCTGCTGCAATGCTGCAGTTTTATGCCCTATACTGCTGTATACAATATCTGATAGTACTAGACCTGTCATCATTTTAGAACTATGCAGTTTTTCAGGTGGTTAAAATAGACTCTGAAATGTTCCATCCTTGGACTTAATTGATCTATGTCATCCAATACATACAAGCCCAGAAAACACAATATAATCATAGTGTCAGCTGGTAATTTTTCAGATTAAGTGCTTCATATAGCATCTTCTATTCAATGATACTATAGGTATTATTTTTTCAAAATTTTGTTACTAGGAAATTATTCACTCACCTGGAAATCTCCCTCATTTTATTGGAGTACCTGATAGCTTAATCTGTGATATCAATCAATTTATATTATGCCAAAGTATATTGCAGACATATAATTTGGGAAGGAACAGTGTAGACCTAAACTAGTTTACTCTAGAACATGGTAAGTGTCTTAATGTAAACTACTTTGTGGTGATTTCCATAAAAGTAGTAGACAAAACTGAGGTTTATGATGCGATTATAACTTTTCCAATTCAATTACACAAAGAGTTCTGTAAGGAATCATACAAGAAAATATAATTAGAACATGCACATAAAATGTTTCACATAATTTAAAAGATATGTTTATAGGGCTATCTCATCATTTAAAAACATATGTTTCCCGTAGACAAAAACCAGTAATTAATCTATCCAAGTGAAGCTAAGCAGCACCATGACTTATTTTCATGATTTCATCAAGCTATCTTTGCATTAATAAAAGGTCACAGGATTATAATTCTAATACTTTAGGTGAATGGAATTGATTCAATTGATTGACAAAATTTAATAATTCCATTTTCATTATTGTGCATTACAGCTAAACTAGAAAGGAAGGATATAGATGCTTACCATCCTTCTTCCAAACAGTATGAGGACTATGAAAAAAAAGATACGTATTTTTTCTTATCCTTACCCATTTTCATTTTTGGTGATCTCTTTATTTACTTAACTTAGGAACTATAAAAAAAAAATTAAAAATGTCTAAACCAGGGGTGGGGAACCTGTACCCTAGAGGCCATATGTGGCCTTCTAGGTCCTTGGCTAGAGCTTTTTCATTGAATCCAAGTTTTACAGAACAATTCCTTTAATTAAGATTCCTTCTGTGACATTTGGATTCAGTCAAAAGGCCACGTTTGAGAACCTAGAGGGCCACATGTGGCCTTGAGGTCACAGGTTTTCCACTGTGGTCTAAATCCTGTTATTTCCTCTTTTCATTAATAACAGTTACGGGAGGAGCATGCAGTGATTTTGTCATTTTTATTACTGTTTTTCTTGCCCACCTTTATTTAAACTCTTACAGAAATAATGACATCTTCAATGAAAATTAAGCAATTTGGATTTAATTTCTAAAGGTAAAACTGAATTCAAGATGAAAAAAGTCTGTTCAAATATATTCAACAATCATAGATGTTATTATGAAAGTTAAGCAATTGCATAATATTTTTCAAGAATAATATCTTCCCCAAAATACAGATGTTTGGTCTATGGAATGCTGGATATTCAAATTAAGATGAAAACATTTACCTTTGATTTAAAAGAAACTGCTCTTGATGTGAGTTTTTCTTCTCTGAGCACTCAAGGAAGGGAAAAAAGGCAATATTTTCTATTTTATGCTTTATATAACTCATACTTTGAAATTTAATTTTTAGAATATCAGCTAACTATAAAATGATATTTGTGTTCTATGTCACCATAATTACAGTTTTCGAGACAAATATTATTAAACTCTAGCTTAATTAGTTCCATGTTTTGGAAGATCATATATTTTAAATGAAAACATTAGATTCAAGTGGATGTTGGAGAATTATCATTTTGGCAAGCAGAAATACTGGTACAATAAATTCTAGAAATATGTTAATAAAAAATGAATTACAAGTATTCAGCAAATAAACCCTAAATATATTCCAAACACTAGTACAAATGATGGTGTGGTAATGTAAATAGGTAGAATGCAGTTTAAATAAAACAATGTTAAATACAAGATGATATAGGGTGGTAATATTAGATTTTTATCTTTTTTTCAACAAATCAGCATTCTCATTGAGGAGTTATTTATTAGATAATTTTGTAAATGGAGGTCATGTATTACCTGACAAATATCTTGAATAAAGCAAAAAAAAAAAAAAAGAACCATGAGATGAGAATCTACAACAGGAAATGGATACTTATATGGAAGCTATTATTCTTTAGAGAAAAGAGATTGTGGGGACAGACTGAAGCCATGCTAAATGAATTTCAGTTTGGGAACCCAGACAAGTTATATACTAAAAGAAATTATGTAAAGTTGGAAAGATTTCACAAAATTTTAGATTAGTAAATGTCCTTACTTTTCAAAAATAATTAAAAATGCAGATTTTGTAAATAATAGAAGTTGAAGTCAACCCTTACCAAAGTTCTAGATTGTTAGCCTGGAAATGTAATTAGCCTGAGTTCAATAAGTGTAAATCATTGGCTAAATTCATTGTTTTAGGAGGAGTAAATTTAGAGATACAAGAAATAAAGTATATGTGGATTTTGGAAAAGTATTTAATATTTATTTTGATATCTTTTTATATAAGATGGAAAAAATGTGTGCAAAAAAGTAATATAGTTAGGTAGATACATACTAACTGAATAACCATGCATAAAGATTGTTGATTAAGTCATCATCGCTGATTTAGATTATCTCTGTCTATTCATCATAATAACATACAGCCCAAAATTCAGATTATGAAGTTTACTGTCCTTCATGTTTCTTGACCTCACTCCCACCTCCCAAAAAAATAAAACAAAAATACTAAACCAAGTCTCATTAGACATAAATTATGATCCTAGTTCTGTCACCAATTAACTAAATAATTTAATTCACCAAACATTTATTATTCACCTACTATGCGCCAAATGAATTCAGAGCCCTCAATAATGAATCCTTTGGGAAGAGCTTATGGCTCTACTCTCTAGGTCTTCAGTCACAGGGGAGAGGCAATTGCAGGAACCTAGAAGTTTTAGAGTATGAAAAATTGAGATAACCTGCATAATGACAAGATTTCAGGTGATCAGCTTATCCTAGAAGCAGAATGATGGTCATGAAGTCAAAACCAAACAGTCACTGATAGAAAATTAAAATTAACTGCAAAATTCAAACACCCTTTTGGACCCTCAATTTCTTTCCCTAAAAATGAGTGAGTTGTAATAGATGATCTCTGAAGATACTGTATAGCTATAACATTCATTTAAATTCTGCAAGCCATAAATTCTTTATTGGTGAAGTCTTATAAAAGTCAGTAAACAAACATTTATTGTTTACTATATTGTTCTAATCATGGGGAATATAAAGGAGAGAAAACCAAAATAAAATATAACATTATTCTTGCCCTCAAAGGGCTCACATTTTAATCTTTAATTAATTTAATGAATTAATGGATACAATTAGTGGAAATAGCTATGTATTTTGAAGATATATTTAGAGTAGATGGAAAGTAAACAGAGGAAGAGAGATAGAAGATAATGGGTCTAAGAGTGGGGACCAGGAAAGGTCTATTACAGAAAGTGGGATCTGACCTGAGTATTAAAGGATGCCTGGGAAGGTAAGAGACAAGTGAGATTGGAGAACATTCCAAGCATGAAAAACAAATAGCACAAAGGCATAGAATACAAAAACGGAGTGTCTTTTGAACAGTAAGTAGTGCAGTGTTTTAAATCATAGATTACAGAGAGGGGAGTAAAGTGTAAAGGGACTGGAAAGGTTGGGAGAAGGGGGAAAAGGGACAGGTTGTGAAGGACTAAAAATGTCAAACTGAAGACTTTATATTTATTCTCAGGAACCAGTGGGATTTCCTAAGGGGACATGATGACATGATTAGAACTATGCTTTAGAAAAAACACATTTGCTTGGGGTGGAAAGATATTAGAAGGTGGGAGAGCAATTAAAAGGCTTTTTTGCAAATAGCCCAAGTGAGAGGTGATGAACCACCTGGAAGGTGACTATGAGAAAGGACAGAAAAGTAGACAATATATTTTATATGCAGGGAGAGTTTGGGTGTGGAATACATATAATGAATTCATCAGTATGGAGGAAATGGCAAAAAAAAAAGACATGGGATTCTGAATTTGATGGTACATTTTTTTTAAAAATCAGACTCTTTTTATTGGGTAAACTATTAATTCAAGTTTATATCTACCCAATTGAATTGTTCCTTAAAACACCACCACCAACAGACAAAAGCCAACTAAAAAGCCTTTTGTTCACCTCCATAATGGATTTGACCTGGAATATAGTGCCAGCTTTTTGAAGGAAATGATTACAAGCAGCTGTCTACTAAAGTCATTATAAACTTAGAATATTAGAATTGTATGAAATTTCAGAGAACCTAGATCATGTCCCTCATTTTTATAGAAAAAGATAAACCTCAAAAAGTATAAATTATAAGCCCCAAGGCAAAATTCCCAAATTATCCAACTTTGAATTCATCATACAATGGAAAAAAAAAGATATCCAGCACAAAAAGGTCTTCTCCCTTTGTGGATCCCCTGTAATTGAGGCAATTAAGACACCAGCATCAATTTATGCCTTACCTTATATATTACGGATTTACTGAGGAATTGAGTCTCCTGATTGAGGAAGAAAACTCCGCATGCGTTTATGTATAATAAGAAAAAAAATGCGATTTTTCATAAAATGCAAATATTTGAAACATGATACAGCTACAGTAGAAGAGGCAATGTGTTGTTTTATTGAAGTAATCCATGGGCAGAAAAAAAGATTTTAAAACTACTGTTTTATCTGAATCCTAATGATCATTTATTTGCTTCTGCTATTACATACCACTTACTAGTCACACCATCAAATTACCATTGAGGAAAATTTTAGATTATAAAAATGTCAATATATATTCATAATTAGGTCAAATGAAACTACCACTTGGCTTCCATATATGGCACTCAGAGACTGGAATTTAAGCATGATAGAATAATTTATCTAAAAACATTGCAAATACGATCTTCTAAAAACAGTAAATATATTTTTATCCATGAAATTCTTTATTTTAATTTTTTTGACCAAAGTTAACAATATGACTAGCTCTCTGGGAAGTGATTTATTATATTTTTAAAAAACAAACAATCTTTCCTATGACATATCAAAATAAAAATATAATAAAATCCAGATGACAATTTAAGCCACCAGTAAATAAAAATGCATTTGGAAATCTGCATTATCACATGAGTTTTAACAGTAGAACATTTTTGTTCATATATGAGATGTAAACATTGCTCTCTACACTTACCAGGTGATTTTATGCCACTTCACTGAACACAGGCTGTAATATATTTGGACTTCTTATTGCTTGAGTAGAAAGTGCTCATCATTGTCTATTATTTTATGTTTATAATATAGAAAAAAAATGAAAGCAGTTTTCAAGTGGCATACATCACACTGTTGTAGTGGTTGATTTCCTCAAGATGGTCTTCTGTGGTTTAGGTGCAGTGGGTGGAGGCACAGTTGCAGGTCTGAGAGGGGGAAAACTGTTACTGTGGCTTATTCCCAACCCTCCATTTTCCAGAGGAAAAGGAGGAAGAGGAGGTGGTGGGGGTGGGAGAGGAGGGCACTGGTGAGGAAGCTTTCCCGGCATATGGAGGGATTCACCGTGGATATGGACCTCTCGGTTTTTTATGTTATACCGGACATCACAGTCAGGGCAATACCCATGGTATTGCACCTTTTCATTAAACCGTACCCGTTCCCGTGGTCCTGCCTGGGGACACCTGTCTTTCTGAGGTCTGTGCATCAGAGGCTGCATCTGCACTTTGTCCAAGTTACTACTAGGTAAACAGCAGATGTCCCATTTGGAATTTTGTTTGATGCTCCAGGTAAACCTCCATTTCGGAGAAGTGTGCCATTTGTTTTTACAGGATTGATGGTTGGCACAGGCCTGTGAGAATTGTCACACTTCACAGGTGTCAATCGTGGAGGAGGAGGAGGAGGGTTAGGTTTTCTCAGGACTGTGAGGATAGCAGAAGGGTGGACTGGTGGCTTAATAAGTGGTGCATTGGAATGCACTTTGATCTTCTCTAAGCTGGATGCTGTTGTGCTGCTGGAGCTGCTGTTCAGTGTATCAGTTTTGGAGCTGTCTGTCATCTCATCCTCCAGCTGTAGGTCAGAGGTCAGTGTGTCAATCTGGTCAACGACCTGCATGGAAATCAGAAGGCAAAATCAATGAAGAGCAGCCCAAAAGAAAAAATAAAAATTAGAAAAATTTAGCCTTCCTCTGCTCAGTTTCTTCCATGATATCAAATTGAACAAATGATAAATACTAGCTATTCATTGACTTATAAAATGACAGTTGCAATCACCAATAAAGCAACAAACATTTATTATCTGACTATTATGTGGAAGACACTGTCCTAGTCATTGGGCCAAAGATAAAAAGTTCCTATTCTCAAAGAGCTTACAGTTTATGGCAAGAGACACTGTAAAATCAGAATGTTAGAATTAGTAAGGTTTTGTAATATTACAGTTCTTTCCCTGACCTAGCAATTCAGAAATGGAAAAGGAAAGATGGAGGCTGGTGGCTACTGATTTAGAAAGACTCCCTACAGGAAGTACTTTTGTAAAGACAGAGATCTAAATTCACTCTTTACATAAATAGAAATAAAGTGACCCAAAATGAAACCGCTAAAAGAAAATAAGAAAATAAATTTCTAAAAAAAAAAAAAGAAAATAGAATTCTTACATGATTCATTACTGGGTTGTCTAAATCATAACATTATCAAGAACATGTAGGAGTAAATTAGACTTCTTGTTATTGCTGTCATTTTTATTAGTAGTAGTAACAGCAGTAGCATTAAAATGAGCTCTAATTTAGGAGTGTAGTAGTTTGCTTTGGCAGATGTATTGAGACTAAACCTAAAAGGGCAATAGGTAGTAGTAGAAGTAGTAGTAGTAGTAGTAGTATAGTAGTAGTGATGGCAGTGGTGGTGGAAGTGGTTGTGGAGGTGGTGGTGGTGGTAGTAGTAGTAGCAGCAGCAGTAGTAGTAGTAGTAGTAGTAGTAGTAGTAGTAGTAGTAGTAGTAGTAGTTAGAGAAGAGGGAAGAAGAAGAGGAGGAGGAGAAGTTGCATTCAAAGCCCAGATCAATTATCTAGAGTCTGAGTGAGAGAGAGAAAGAAAAATAAAGGAATATTAACCTTAGTAATATAAGCTGGGGCTCTGTGTGCTATAATACTGTTAACAAGAGCTGTGAAGGGCTTTGATGTACCCTAAAACTTGGGCCAGTTAGGCTGTGGTGATACCAATAACTGGATAAGCACATCAGCCAGTATAATCAAACCTCTTTTATGAACCTATGTATGTTCTAGTATCAACACATCAGAAATTTGTTATCTTTTATAAACTAACAAATGGCACATCCTTATTCAACAAATACCAAGCTTGAAATATTTTAAAAAAACTTTGAAAATTCAATGAATAATCCTATAGCTAGGACATTTATACACAATAATTTAATTTATTTTAATACCTGTTACTACACCAAATTCTCATAATTTCTAAGCTACATGAAGAGAAAAACTTCCAAAATATAGGGATCTATCAGAAGAAATCAAAACCACATGAGAAAAGGGTTAGTTATGTATAAGCCCCGTTATCTGAGCGTCTATTCATTTTTCTAAACAAGTATCAATAAGTCAACAAAAGATGAGCTTATGTGATATTTTTATGTATTAACAAATAGTATTTTTATCTGATTCTGAAAGTCTCCAAAATACTAAATATAAAATAATAGTATGAAGATGACAACTTGTCCCATGACCAACTGTATCTAAATTCCATAGGAAAAGATGAGAAGCAGATGAAATTCAAGAAAGACAACACTAATAATTACTCACTCAAAATCAAATCAATTTTTGATGATGTTAGAGAATACTCCATAGGAGAGTAGAATAATGACAGCCAGGGAGATTTACAATGGGGGCTTTATGTTCCTTTGGATGGCTACAATAGTTGGGAAGGTCTAGGACACCTGAAGCAATGGATAATTGGGCCATAATACATGACTGAATGGGTCAGCATGCTAGTCAGTAAAAGGCATCTACAAAGTCAAAGAAATAGAAAAGATGGTATAATGTTACCAGGTGGCTCTAGTTGGAACCATTATGGTGCTTGAAGACAGCAGACCAAATGGCATTCTCTTATGTTCTGAAACCACAAAAAAGCAAGAGAGACTGGAACAAATGAGAAATAACAATACATACCTGCTAGAAATATTTCAGTGTCTCCATCATGACTGCAAAAGCAGACAAAACATGCATGAAATGGACTGAAAATATGAATGTTTTCATTAAGTGTAAGAATTATAGATAACAAAATAAAATTGGAAACATCTTACCAGTAGATAGCAAAAGCTTTATTTTGATTTTTGTCAATAACAGTCTCAGTTCCAAGTCAAACAAAAGCATGCTAAAGAAGAGTATAGAGTAATAATAAGAATTAATTCAAACCCGAAACCAAGATTAGATGAAATAAGACTTGAAACAGAGAAATGATTAAACACTGGAGATGAAAAGGTTGAAGAACATGAGGACACTAAAATATTCTCAACATAAAAGTCATATATTCTACAAAATAATGATATGGGCAACAAAATAATGCTAAGGTCTCAAATAAGTTTGAAGAGGTGATATCATACTTAGGAATTTCAAATACTATTTTTTGAGTTTGATGGCATGAATACAACTAGCTGGCTTAGTGTACCAAAATATAATGCAAAAATTTGTCATTCATGAAAAATCATAGTGAATATATTTATTCTAATACATATATATGAATATATTTATTTATAGAAAGTATTAAAAATGTTTCAGAACATGCTCACAGCACTATATATGTTGGATATTGTCATGGTAAGAACCAGAGGAAATGTGAAGTAATTAAAGAATATTCTTAAGGACAGGCATCATCATGGTAAAAATAGCTTGATAAAGTTATTAAAGAACTAAAGAAAAACATTGGAATGTTAAATCAGTATCTAGAGTGGCGTGCAAATTACTTTTAAAAAAGTAAAATAACTAAACTGTTGACATGTAATTAGCCTTTCAACTTTTGGCATCTTTATTTTTATATGCAATGTTCTCATTTTGGTGGAATAATTTATTTTACATGATTTCCTATGGAGTTCACAAAATGTTAAAACATATTCTTAATTCATCTTGATGCTACCGTACACATTACCATTGATGAGGGGTTCACTTTTTCTGAATCTAGACTTGATTATAACTGATGTATTTTCAGAGAAGTTGGAATCAGGTAAGCTTCTAGGCCACTTACGCATGTATATCATCATCTCCTGGGTAAATTTATTAAACTTTTCTCATTTTTTCATGCTGTAAAGGCTTGTTTTAGTATTCCTTTTTAATTTTGAGAGTTTCTATAATCCCAGAAAAAAAATACTTCATTAGTACATCAATATATTTATCAGAGTTCATTATCTAAATGAACACTAGTTCTAGGCACACTGTAAATAAAAAATAAATAAATAAATCTCCAAATATTTTGAGGGGTTATATATTTCATAGTCTGGTAAAAATGTCCAAATTTTAAAAACTTAGATGTAGTTTTAACAATGAAATTGGCATGAAATTAAATGGAAAAAAATTAACAGTAATAATTACATTTTGCTAATATTGCCTTGACCACGATATACTTTTTCTTTATAGAAGCATTTATAAGTTTTTATTTTTTTTAACATTGATCTTTTTACTATCCTTCCAATTTCAGGAAGCCTACATGGAAAAAGAATCAGTTCTAATCCCTTCAGGCTCCCAGTCCCTCTGAAGACTGTTGCTTGCTTTCTGAGTATTCATTAAGCTCTTTTGCCTCAAATTTGTTAGTCATTGACATTGTTTTTCAGTTTTTACCGTATTGTCCTTTGTACTTTGCTGTGGATGAACTTTTTTTTTCATTTTTAGCCTGAATGATGTTGAAACACTTGATTTCCTGATAGCAATAACTGCTACAACAGTTCTAATAGGTGTTGATCTGTGCTTTTTAAATGCTACAACTTTTGTATGACTTCATGGAGTAATATCAAAATAATCAAATATCAATAATAAAAAATAATAAAAAAACAACAACTTAAAAGACCCATGATGTGCATATGTGTCTTGAAATCTAGCACTCAATGAACAGCTACATGGTGCAGTGGATAGAGCACCAGCCTTGGATTCAGCAGGTCCTGAGTTCAAATACAGCCTCAGACATATAACACTTACTAGCTGAGTGACCCTGGGCAAATCATTTAACCCCACTGCCTAACCAAATTTAAAAAATGATTACAAAAAAAAAAAGAAATCTAGCGCTCAACTGACATAAGACTAGTTAAAGGGAGGAAAAGTTATTCAGATTCTTTTCATTTGGTGAAGTCAACTTAGTGTCAGAGGAGGAACTTTTTTAAGTATTGGAGCTCAGCTTGAGAATGGTATTGGTGATTATGAAATAAAAGTGGCTCCAGATTTTGGAATTTCTTTAATGTAAAGCAAGGATTTGTTATATAAAGTTTGAATTTTGTACAGTGGGCAGGTGGAGCCATTGATAATTTTAAGTAGAATCACATGACCAGAATTATGAATACAGATTAGCTACAGATATATTAGTAATATTTATCATCAAATGTGGAAATGATATTTCCCAAGATCGTCAAGTGATGCCTCAATCCTGGAAGTAGTCTAATAAGTGCAAAAGATAGATTGTAAGGGGAGTCATAGAAACATAGAAAGAGGCTACAAAAAGAATAGATAAAGAACCACATTAATAATTCTAGTGCATGTGGTAAGCACCATAAAAAATGGGCATAAATAAATTAGGGTCATAAGACAGAGGGAGGAATAGCAGATTTTAAGATATGAGGTACCACAGCAGGAGTCTGAAAACTGAATAGTGGTCATTCAAAGTAACTAAATAGTGGGCCAGGGAAAAGACCAGAGCAGGCACCAGGCCAGGGAGAAGCACATCTAGAATACAGCAATGGAGATGAGGAAGTTTGCCTTTTGGTAGCTTGCTGTTTTAGTTCTTGCTGAGTCAATTATTTTTACTAGATGGAGTCAAAATCCTGTCAGTGCCATATAAATTTTGATGATCTAGGCTAGGTTAAAGCACCCATCTTAATGATTCAATTTTGTTGTTTGTGTTCCTTCTA